GATAATTCCTGAATGTGTTGGATCTCAAAAGACCATGTTCCCGTACAATCAGTGGTGGGCAGTGTGGTCTCGGACCAGGCTATAAAGATCTTTTTGTCCAATATGATAGCTGATTCCTAGGACAAGAAGGTCACTTTCTGTAGAGAGGCCAGGAAGATGAGACGGACACTTTCTGTTTTACCTCATAATTTATGGCAAATTTTTGGTGTGTGCATTTTGGACTAGGATTATGGCAGAGGAAGGGATGGAAATTATAGAATTTTTTTGAAATAAAGATTATAGGAGTCAATAATTGGTTGGCAATAAAAATTTAAAAATACAGAGGGGTTTAAAGAACAATCTAGGATTTTGAGTTTGGAGAGGGGAGGAGTGGATTGGAGTGGTGACTGCTTGCTATAGAAATCAGTAAGAGGCCAGGTGCAATGGCTCACACCTGTAATCCCAGCATTTTGGGAGGCCAAAGAGGGAGGATCGCTTGAGACCTGGAGTTCGAGACCAGCCTAGGCATATAGTGAGATCTTGTTCCTACCAATAAAAAAAAAGAGTGACAGAGAAATTGTTAAGAACCTGAGTATAGCTGCTTGTAGGGGTTGGTGGGTGTCTGGAGGCAGAGGGAAAGACAGGACTTCTAATGTGGAGTGGACGTCCCCAGTAGGCAGCTAGCCACACTCAAAAATCTGAGGTCAGTGACACAGATTTGAGAGTTACCCCTTCAAAATGGTAATGGAGATTATGACAACCAAGAGTCATGGAAAGCAGAGTGTTTACCTGAAGGTGGTCAGGTATTGACCTGGACCCAGAATGTCATACCCTTGATCAGTGCCTTTTTTCAAAACAGCACAGAAACAGATATAAAACAAGCATTCCAAGTACTATGTTTATTATCACCAAATCTTCATTTTTTGAGAAATGTGGAATTTATTTGGTAGAACTCATAGGATGTATAGAGAAAGAGATTTACTGTGGGAATTGCCTCACACAATTATGGAGGCTGAATTCCCACCATCTGCCATCTATAAGCTGGATAACCAGGAAAGCCAGTAGTGAGTTTCAGTCCCAAACTGAAGCCCTGAGAACCAGGGGAGCCAATGATGCAAGTCCCAGTCTGGGTTTGAAGACCTGAGAGCCAGAAGTGCTGACGTCTGAAGGCAGAAGATGGATGTCCCAACTCAAGCAGACAGCAAATTCTCCCTTCTTCTGCCTTTTTCTTCTATGGGGACCCCCAACAGATTGGACAATGCTCACCCACACTGGTGAGGGTAAATTTTCCTTAGTGTAAAATTCAAATGACAATCTCCTTCTGAAACGTCCTTACAGACACACCAGAAATAATGCGTTTTAATTAATTAATTTTAAATAAGTTTTTGTTTAATTTTAATTTTTTATTTTTGAGTCAGAGTCTCACTCTGTTGCCCAGGCTGTAGTGCAGTGGCATAATCACACTCACTGCAGCCTTGACCTCCTGGGCTCAGGTAATCCTTCTGCCTCAGTCTTCTGAGAAGTTCATACTGCAGGTAGGCACCACCACGACCCAGTCAATGTTTTGATTTTTTTTTTTTTTTTCTGTAGAGACAAGGTCTCACTATGTTGCCTAGGCTGATCTCAAACTCCTGGGCTCAAGCGATCCCCCTGCCTTGACCTCTCAAAGTGCTGGGATTACAGGTGTGAGCCACTGTGCCTGGTCAGAAAAAATGCTTTGTCGACTAGCTGGGCATCCCTTTTCTCAGTCAACACACATAATTAACCATCACATATAGAAATAATATTTGATTACTTTTTGTCTTTCGTCAGCATCAGAACCATGTTAAACTTTTTCAGGAGTAAGGTATGGTCTCTCCTTCCACCAGGGCAACTTATGCATAATGAGCCAATTGCAAACACAAACATCCTCTCAGAAGACATCTGGGAAAGATTTCAGTACAAATTGTTAAAGAAAAAGTTATTTATGACTTAAAGGAAGACTCTACTCAAGGGGGTCCATGATAATAAGTTTTGGTCAGAGGAGAGTCTTCTCCAAAGTAAAGCCAAAACTGGAATGTTTATCATGACTTGCCGTTTTCTAAACTGTGTGATTCTCCCTGGGAATGACCATCACAAAGGACTCTGGATTCAGCACCTGCCTGACTTGGCCTGTGCTTTTCAGCCTTGACGCAGCTCAGCCAAGGACTCGGGCCTGCTGGGTTCAGTGGGAGAGACATGTAGTCTGGGGGCTTCAGGAATGTGCTGTGGAGGGTCTGTTGTCAACTCCTCTCCTGTGGTAGGTCAAGTGTGTGTGCAAGCACCATGGTGAATACTGTTCATCTGAGTGGGAAGGACTTGGGTAGTATCAGAGCACAACCGGACACAAGTTTTAGAAAGCATCTTGGGGAGAAACCAGGTGCAGAGACGGTAGTTAGGAGGGGTCTCTAATTTCCTAGTTGACAGCTGCTATAAGCACCTGACACAGGGAGAGGGCAGTTGACATGAGAGTAGAAAGTGGATAAAAACCAATTTAAGGAGGGCAGAAAAATATGTGTAGCCAAAATTGCAAGATTATAAACAATTTAGGATAGAGAAGAATGTCACTGACCAGCCTGGGCAACATAGCAAGACTTTGTCTCTGCAAAAAAATAAAAAAATTAGCCAGACATGACGTGCACCTGTAGCCCTAGCTACTCAGGAGGCTGAGGTGGGAGGATTGCTTGAGCCCAGAAGGTCAAGGCTGTGGTAAGCAGTGATTGCACCACTGCACTCCAGCACTTCACTCCTCATGACAAAAAAAAAAAAGTCACCAAACCAAACAAATATACTGATATTATGGTGTAGAAAAAGGACAGAGAGCAGGATCTTCACAGATCTATACACTAATGCATAGAGTTTGGAGAGAATTCAGAATTCTATGTAACAAGGTACATACAATCTAGCCGAGGAATCAGGCTGAAGGGTATACTCAGGCCTGGAACACAACCTGGATGGGCAAACAGTCTAATTTGTCCATGCTCAAGTTTATAAAACACTTGATGTGTGTAAAAGTTATAACCTGTATTGTGGACCCAAGTTTTCAGGGCCCGAGATGTAGACAGTTTTTGGAGTCTTTGATACGAAATAAAAATTATAAACACAAAATTAAGTACTGGGCTTTGGAGGCTGTGTAAGTGTGGGACCCTGAAACGTAAGTTTTATTACCTTCTGAGTAATGCATCCTGTAGTGTAAAATATAATGACAGAATGAATACCTATCGATCTGCCACCCTGTGTGAAAACTCATTCATGACCATGACCAACCCCATGAAACTCATCTCCGTCCTCCCCCCTCCACACCAGAAGTAACCATTCCCCTGAGGTGTGTGTTTCTTTTTCCCTTGCATTTCTTTAGAGTTTTGTCACATGTCTCTAAACATTTTTTTAGTTTCATGCTTCTGAACTTTACATAAGTGATGTTGGAATACATATATAATTTTTCAATTGGCCTTTTTTGCTCAAAATACTTGTGAGATTTGTCTGTGCTGACAAGCATAGCTGTTACTTCCTTTTCCTTGGCATTGTAAAAACACAGGCAGTCCTTGCTTTGTATCTCATGGGACTCATGCCAATCAGAACTATCCCTTGGAATTGTCTATGGCCATACCACTCTGGACATACCCAATCTCATCTGTCCCCTGGACTTGCACAGCTCTATGCTAATTGGAATTGTATATCACAATATATTTTCATCAATCTTTTGTCAAAACTTGTCAGTTTTTTGCTAGTACATATCTTGTACTTGTCTCTAGGCAAGGGTGCAAGAGGTTTTCTATTTTGAACACCTAGGGGAGGAAATCCTATTATGGAATATTTACATTTTCAACTTGTCTAAATAACACTGAGTGGGTGGGCCAGAAGGTTCTTTAATATCTGTCCCATCAGCAGCAGATAAGAGTTCCCTTTGCTCCATTTATCTTTACTGATGTAACAATATTTTTACCAATCTGGCAGAGGAAATCCAGTAACCCTTTTCTTGATGCTAATGAGGCAGAAGGTATTTTTAGAAGCTTATTAGCTTTATGTTTTCCTCTTGACTGAAATAACTCTTCTGGTCTTTTGCCTATTAGGTTGCTTTTTTCCCTCCCTGGTTTATTAGAGTTTTTTGTACATTCTGAAAAGTGATGCTTTATTGGCTATATGTTGTTTGAAGCTTTCTCAGTGGTGGCTTGCTTTTTTTGATTAATTTCTTGGTTTTAAAATCAATCTTTTTCTATATGGTTTCTAATTTCATGTCTTATTTAAGAAATCCTTTCCAAAATGTCATAAGGACATTCTCCTGTCTACCCTTTTAAAATTTGTAAAGATTTTCATTTACCTGGAATTAATTCTTGTGTGGTGTGGTGTGGTGTAGAGAGTCAATTTAATTTTGTCCTACGTGTATAAAAGACCGTTTTAGTACTCTTTGTTGAATACTAAATCTCTTTCCATTGCACTGCAGTGTAACTTCTGATGCATAACTGGTGTCCACGTGAATGTACATCTGTTCTGGGCTATTTTGTTCTATTTGTTCCACTGGTTTGTCTATCGATGCACAAATGCTATGCTGTATTAATTACTGTGGCTTTCCAGGAAGTGTTGACACCTGGCTAGGCAAGTTCCTCTACCTTGACCTTCTTTAACAGTGTGCATTCTTCAAAAGAAGGTCAACTGCATGCCATAGAGGAGCCCAGCAAGCTAACCACAGATCAGTTCTCCTGCCTGCACCAACCAGTCCTGCACCTGGAGCCCATGTGAGCAGATGGTGCAACAGAGCAGACAGCATCACCCCTCAGCTCCTGAGTCCGGCCTCACACAGGCCAGCACCCCTGTTCAGTTTCCTCTCATCTCCTTTGGGGCTCTCCCAAGCTTTCATGTCTCTCTTCAAGTCTGAACCCCACCTTGACTTGTCTCTCAGCTGAGACTAATCTGCTGAGGTAACTCCCAACTTGTTCACTTTTTTCAAATATTTTCACATGTTCATCTCAAGTCAGACTCCAGAGTACATGGAGAGAAGTTGCTTCTGATATCTTTTTGTTCATTTTATTTTTATTCTGCAGGCTTTATACAGTTATGCAATATAAGAAGCATAAAATACTAAAATCTATATTATTTATTTATATGGTGCAAAATTTTCAGTAAAAAAATTTCTCATCCTGAAAGATGATGTTAAGTAGAGCAGAAATATTGTCATGATCAACGATTCAATGGGAGAACATAAAATATGCTCTATTTCATAATTTCCCACAAGAAAATCTCTAGTTTGTTTAAATGCAACAAATATCCTAATACACTCACTTTTATATGCACTATACTCCTTTCTGTCTTATTCTTTTGAAGAGATTCTGGAAGAGCTGTGAATTGGAGAACAGTGAGTCCAACCACCTAACAACCACCAGGAAACAGCATGCCTGATTGATTCTCCTAATTATCTTGGAATCGATTATCTTCCACGACAATAGTTCTTCTAGGATAGGACTCAACTTCTACAAATATATATTGAAAATCACATTCGCCACTTCCTGGGTTCTGAAAAAAATGCAGTATGTCCAGGTGTTATTTTCCCTTCCAGTACTCAAAACCCTCAGTCCCCCTAGGCCTCCCCAGGACTGCAATGCTCACACCTCCTTCACTTCCACATGCACTGTTCCTTGCTTCCCGGGCTCAGAGCCTTCAATGTAGAACTTCACACGCAAGTATTTCAGCCCATCTTTTACATATTCAATGAAACTGTCAAGAAAATGAAAGCACCTAAGTCCAAGTTCCTTTCATTTAAAGATTGCCCCATGCGTCCTCTGAATTTATCCAGTACCTGACATGTTGCCTCCGGCCCCGCCTCGTCACCTCCCCATAGCCTTTCACTGGCTCGCCAAAGACACTCACCACCTGCAGAGGAAAGTCAGTGCTTTATTTTGTGTTACTTCTTAAGCTTCTAAAGGAAACAGTTTCTGACAAACCAAGTTATTTTAGGAAAAAAAGCAGTAAGCCTAGGACCCTTTCAAAAAATAAAACTCCAATGATAAGAGAACTAAAACAAGGTCTATATAAAAATCATCCTGTACATAATTTAAACAAATATTTCATGCAGAGATGAAAATGGACAACTACATGGTGAGTCTTGTAGTTTCAGAACAATGTAGCAAGAAGTGAAGCGCTTCCTACTCCCCTTCAAAAAACAGACACAGCATAATATTTGAAACAGTGTTCAAATACTTCCCACAATATTTGAACCAGTGTTCAAATACTTCCCTACTAACTTATGGTTTGAAGAAAAAACGTCAGAACATTTAAAATAAAATTTAAGCCTTTGGGAGGCTGAGGTGAGTGGATTGCCTGAGCCTGCGGGTTCGAGACCCGCTTGGGTAGGCGAGACCTCATCTCTACAATAAATCAAAAAATTAGCCAGGCGTGGTAGCGCGCGCCTGTAATTCCGGCTACTCGGAAGGCTGAGGCGGAAGGATCGCCGGAGCCCAGCAGATCGATGCTGCAGTGGCCGGGAGCGGCCACTGCACTCCAGTCTGGGTGACAGAGTGAGACTCCAACTCTTAAAAAAAAATAAATAAATAAAATTTAAGTAACAGGATTTGATACTAAAAGCTATGAGATCACAATAATTATTAAAGTCACTAAACACAGTGGGAAAAAGACAAGTATGAATGACACTTAAAATAAACCAGAGCTATAGGTGTGAATCAATTATTCCTAATGTGAAAGTTCACATAAAATACAAATGGAGTTTTTATTGAATTTAAAATGCAAATACTGTGAAACCCTGTCTAAAAAAATAAAGATTTGACATCAAACTAAAAAAATTTAACCCTCAACTCTGTAACATTTTTATTTAGACTCTTCGTTGCTATCTTCAGAATCACATTTCCCAGGATAAATAAAAAGGAATAATATGTAAGATGACAGACATTTCAGAACTGTGTGGCTGAAACACATGGAACAACCTTCCAAATAATTTAACAGATTAAACATGTCAATATCAGAACACTAGCATTTTCTTTTTTGTCACCCAGGCTGGAGTGTAGTGGCATGCTCACGACCACAGCAGCGCTGACTTGCTAGGTTCAGGTGATCCTTCTACCTCAGCCTTCCAAGTAGCTGGAACTACAGATGCATGCCACCATGCCTGGCTAGTTTTTGTGATTTCTTTTAGAGATGAGGTCTCGCCAAGTTAAGTTGCCCAAACTGGTTTGGAATCCCCGGGGCTTAGGCAATCCTCTTGCCTTGGCCTCTCTAAGTGCTGGGATTACAGGCTAAGCCACCACCGCACCTGGCCTGGGATTTTCTGTTTTTTTAAGTACCTGGCAAAGAGAAGTGTCTTAAAAAATGATGACAAAATCATTAAAGTTAGTTATTATTTGTGGAGTTCTTTTAGGCAACAAATTGAGTTATGACTTTAACTTTCTCTCACTCTTTTGAATATTCTGTGGAGTTTTTTGTTTTGTTCAAAATGCTGAAAGATCTATGAAAGGCGAAATTTCTAACACAGCAATTCTTCATGTCTCTCCACAGATGCACCCTAACACTTAGGTTACACTGCATGTGTTTTTGTAATCTGTAAAAAGTGTTTCTTGTCAGATATTTGGATTTCTAACAACTATAATGAGAGCCTTCCTTATTTTCTACTGATTTTCAATACACTCAGGGATGCCCTTCCCTCTCTGCCTCCTTCTCCATGGTTACCAGACTGCCCAGAGTTCAATTAAGAGAAATCAGTGGATTTAAAAAAGAAACATGCCACAGACCATTAGCTTCTGAGGTGGTTCACCCTGACACCATTAGTGAAACTGAATGTGCGCTCAGAGTCGGTGCCCCAAGGAAAACCATTGCCAGCATCTGTGCTAAGATCGCCCTGTGGATTCCACAGGGTCTGCAAAGTCTAGGTTTCTCTGCCATTACCCCTTGGTCAGTGTAAAGAACAGCCTCGATTGATATCTGTGATGCTATCTGCTGTTATCATTCAAGGTGAAAGAATGAGGAGTTTGCTGAGTAATATTTTCATTGCTGAAGTTTTCTACCCAGGGAGTAAGGATCTGACACCTTACTGGCCACACTAGCCTGCTACCTGTGACTGGAAAGCCACAATATACAGTCTTCCTTTGATAGGGTCTATCAATGAACGGAGGCAGGCTTCTCACATATCCATTCCTCCCACGGCATGACTGAGGCAGGTTGAGCATAACATTTGGAATCAGATGAGTTTTGCTTCAGGTTCTGGCTCTCCCACTCACCAGCTCAGTGATCCTGGAGAAGTTACTTAACCTCTTTAAGTGTCAGTTCCCCTTCTGCACACTGGAGATAACAGTGGTACCTAATGCAAATGGTTCTTGTGAGACTTAATGAAAACGGTGCACAGAGACACTGAGCAGTGTGCTTGGCATGGGACACACTTTTGTAAGTGCCAACACTGACCATTATGGTTATGAGGCCATGAACCAGGCTTTTCTAAAAGATTAGAAACTTGCCGGGCTTGGTGGCTCAGTCTGTAATCCCGCGCCTTTGGGAGGCTGAGGTGAGTGGCTTGCCTGAGCCCATGGGTTTGAGACCTGCTTGGGCAGCGAGACCTCATCTCTACAATAAATCAAAAAATCAGCTGGGCGTGGTAGTGCATGCCTGTAGTTCCAGCTACTTGGAAGGCAGAGGCGGAAGGATTGCTGGAGCCCAGCAGGTCGAGGCTGCGGTGGCCAGGAGCGGCCACTGCACTCCAGTCTGGGTGACAGAATGAGACTCCAACTCAAAAAAAAAAAAAAAAGATTAGAAACTTACTACATGAGTTTGATGTTTGGGTGTATTCTAAGCCTGTAATATCTACAAACAACAAGTAAAACAACCTTCTTGTACAATTAGCATGAAAACACCTGTACACTGACCTTTGGGAACTCTTAAACAACAAGGAACTAACAATGTACTAACAACTCAACCATTAGATATTTATTATATGAGTTTCAGAATTCAGGTACTTGAATTACGCCTGCTTCCTTCTCCCTGACATTTTCTCCCTGTCATTAGAGTCCATGTAACTCAGTCTTCAGAACTTACCTCAGGATGTGATCGGCATTTTTCTAAGGCTTTCCCATATATCTTATTTGGACTGAATGAAGAAAAAAGTTCTTTGAAAATTGTGTAAAACAAGCCACCTGAAAATCACAGAAAAAGAAGATGAAGCAAAACAACAGTGACACCAGAAGGTGAGTGACAGAGTTATTCAGGGGTGTTATACTTGCTGTATTTTACAACCTGTAACGCCGATTCCAATAAGCACCACTATTAAGTAGGTAAAATCTCTTCCGGCTTCTTTCACTGTAGAGAGAAAACAGCAATCAATTGTGCGTGCCAGCCGTAATCAGGTATGCTCACCATGTCCCTGCTGCCAGAACTTCAGCAGAGTTCTCAGAGCAGGACTTGGGAATCTACACTTTAGTTTAATTTAATATTATAATTTAATGCTATCTTGATTTCCAGGATGAAGAAATCCTTTTAACATGTGATCCAGCCCCACGAGTGAAAACAACTGCCCCTGGACCTGGATCTGCTGTTCACAGATTAGGAAGAGTGTTGGATTTGTCCACCAAAGGGACCAGGGACTAAGGGATCAAAGTAGGTGTCAACTTGTGACAGTCAGTAACTTGCCTAAATGCTGCCCTCCCCCAGACACACTGACTGGTGCAGAAAATAAAAACAGAATTAAATTCAGAACAGGAATTTGGATTGTTAGAAAGATTTATGAATCAAACACACTTAGAAAATGAAACTGCAGAGACTACTTTTTAAAATAAAAGAAGTGAATATGGATTATATAGAAGCTGAGAGCTAAAGAAATGCAATCCAGACACTGTTATGGGACAGAGTATATACATATGTGTAGATGTATCTTCATACACATGCAAAGAGCTATAACATTACAATTAACATTACAATTGTGGCTACACTTTTCACTGATTCTGAGAAAGTGAACCACCTCTTGGTATTTATAGCTTATTTATTTATAGCTTGATTTATTCACCACATTAGAAACCCAGACTTCTTAAATATAGATCTCGCATGAATTTCTTTTTAGAAAAACAATATAATTTTAACAGAGGTGATCCTGGAGAAGTTACTTATTGTTTCCCCACTTTTCCCTTCTGTATAACAAGCTTTATTTCTTTCATAAAATCACACAACCCACACAGCACAATCCTTCAACTTTTCAGTACAGGTTCTCAGCTTAGAGATGTGATTTAAATAATAAAAAGATTGTATCTGCTAAAATCTATGTAATGCATGAGATTGAGGCAAATGGCAATTGTCACCACAAGTCCAGTCTTCTTTCCAAGGTTTAGGAGTTGAGGCCTACATCGACACATCTCATTCCCCTCTCTATTAATGTCACAAAATACACTTGAGTACATAATAGCTGCCAGCTGCACATTAAGTCTCAAGCTGAGAAAACTGTAACAACTATACTAACATGTAGCTATATTTGTCCCTATTACCTGAACTGGGTCATTGGCCCCAACACCCTGGATTCCTGATCGTCCCTCCCCCCAAAAATTACTCCTGCTTTGCTTGGGGTCTGTGTATCTACTATAGGTGGAAAGCCCTGTGCTGAATATTATTCATGTTCTATACCTTTTTACAGTTTCTGTTTGAGTGTTACTTTACAGTTGTCTCCAACGGAAGCTGCTCACTGCCCACCTTTCTCTTCTGAGCTAAGGACTTCATGCAGAACACCCTCATGCCCTTTGCTCCTGAAATCCACTCCTCCTACAGTGGGTGTTGTGGGTGGTTGCTCCCAGTTGTGGGAGCACCAGCAACTGAGAGTTTTCCACTGAACTCCCCTCTGGGTATCCTTCATCCAGGAGCCTCTCACCTAGATCACTGTGCTTCCCCAGGCCAGCCCTTCCTCAATGCCTGGCTGAGGCCCAGCAGGAGACTCAGCTCCCAAATAAAGGAGGAATGACTGGTCAGTCCAGCCCCAGAGACTGGTTGAGTCCCCGAATGAAAACATACTTCAGGGTCTCCCTCTGCCCAGTCCTGCTCCCGCTACCCTTCAAGATGTGTTTACAACCCTCTGACAAACCTTCTTCTGCACATCCTTCTGAGTCCACTTCCTCGGGATGCCCCACAACAGGTGATACCAGTCATGGTCCTAGAAAGCAGCTTCTAGTTGGGATTTTGGGATGATCCCCATTAAGTGAAGTAAAGCTGACAGAACAGCCATGACAAACTGGGGGAAAGGCTCAATAGGCTTAGCTAGAGGAGATATAAGACATAAAGCCCGAAAACCCACCAGCTGACTGTTTATAGGAGACTTGAAGGACACTGTTTGTCAAAGACCCAAGGAAGTCACCATTACATTGTTACAGAGCAGGATTCTCTGAAAGCAAGGATAAAAGAATCCTGAAATACAGACCAGGTCATAGCGTTAATCAGAACCCAGGGCGGGCACAACTATCATAGGGAACAGCAAGGCTGGAGTAGCAGCCAGGCAGAGTGCAAGAGATGATTACTAGAATGCTGCATTCCCAAGAGCAAGGCTGATGGGCAGCTGACAGGGATACTGTTCAATTATATAATCACAAGACATTGATATGGATGATCTGGAGGCTGAAGGCAGCTGCTCTAATGCAAAGTCCTTATTACTGCTCCAGTTTCTGGACCTGAATCAGTTTTCAGACCTGGAACCCATTTACTGAAGGAAAAGCTAGGGTTCTCTGAGGGACTTTAAGCAAGTGTGTATGATTCCCCTGGTCTTTCACCAAAGGGACCTACAGCTATCAACTTGGACATAGAGTCTGCTGACAATAACTGAAGAATCCAGAGTCATCATGGCCCACGCTGTTCAGTGCATACAAGGCCATGTAATAGAGTCTGGCATGTAAGAGGTTCACAGCTGGGTCCAGGGTCTTGGCTGCTTACCTGATTGCCAAATGTATAAAGGAAATGGATATACTCAGTAGCTGGCAACAACCCCTACTTTAGTTACCATTAAGAGCTACATGGTGGGAAAAGAAACTATGAAACTGCCCCGTGACCAAGAGAGTAAATTAAAAACAATATTGCATCCAAGGAGGAATGGCAAAAATAGTGCCAATCTTAAAAACCTAAAGATACAGGGGTGGTGGTCCCCATCGTAGTGCCATGTAATTTATCAGTCTTCCCTTTAGAACAACTAAATTGAGGCTAGAAAATGACAGTGGTTCACTGCAAGCTTAACCAAGCAGTAGCCTCAACACAGGTGTAATGCCACACATGGCAACTTTATGGGAGTGTGTTAAGTTTTTAACATAGATCTGAAGAACACTTTCTTTTCCATTTCTACTGAGAAGGAGCAGCAGTAGTAGTTTGTAGTAACATGAAACAGATAATAACAGTGTATATTTATGGCCTTGCCCGAGATTTGCTAATTCTTCCACTCTCCATCATAATATAATCTTTAAAGACTGGAAACTTCTGGACTTGGGGTTGTCCAAAATAACAACCACTATCCACACATGACTATTTAAATTAATTAAGATTAAACAAATTCACTTACTCAGTCACACAAGTGACTGAGTGCTAAACTGCCACATGTGACTAGTGGCTACCATACTGGGAAACACAAATAGAACATTTCCATGATTGCAGCAAGTTTTATTTGGATGATGCTGTTCTGGACATTTAGCAGAGTATTACATTTATCCAGCGATGCCATTATGTTAATGCTAATAAATAATCAGGGGAAAGTTTGTTGCAAGGCTTGGTAAGATGGGCTCCAAGTGTGAGAAATGGGCCCAACAAAGATTCTAAGCCTCACCAACCATATCAGTGAAACTTGCAGGGGTATGCTGTCTGGGACATGCTGGGCAAATTATTAATCTCCCGTAAAAGGCAAATTATTGCATCCTCCTACAATGCTTGATAGGCCTCTTTGAATTCTGGAGGCAGCATATTCTGTATTTGGGACTATGGCTCTCATCCATTTACTGAGTAACAAGGAAGGTTATAGTCTTTGAAAGGGGTCCAGATTAGGAAAGGGCTCTGTAGCAGGCCTGGTCTGCAGCCCAAGCAGCATTGTTGCCTGAGTCAGATGACCTGACACACATGTTGCTTAACACATCTATGCCTTTCACCTTTGCATACACGCTGTTCCTTCATGCTTAAGTGCTATTATGAGTGAAAATCTAGATTATATTTTGACATATTCAGCAGGTAATTAGCCTCCTTTGCTTTTAGGAGAGCAACTGGTACATTATAATTCAATTTTTTGGTTAAAATTATTAAAAATCATACGTATTGAAATAACATAAACCAAAATATTCACAAGTCAACTTCGTGTGGTATAATCATAGACGTCTAAATTACTTTCTATACCTCTTATTTCTGCAAGTTACTTGTGAAACAAACAATACAAAAATTAAACTTAAAATACCTACACAAATGTCTGACTTTCCCTGACAAAATTACACTTCATCCTTTGTACTTTTTTTTTTTGAGTCAGAGTCTCACTCTGTCATCCAGGCTAGAGTACAGTGGCATGATCACAGCTTGCCACAGTCTCAAACTCCTGGCCTCAAGCAATCCTCCTGACTCCCAAGTAGCTGGGGTTACAAGCGTTCACCACCACACCTAGATAGTTTTTTGATTTTTTTTATAGAAACGAAGTCTCACTATGCTGCCTAGACTGGTCTTGAACTCTTGGTCTCAAGTAATCCTCCTGCCTTGGCCTCCCAAAGTGCTGGGATTATAGGTGTGAGCCACCACCACTCCCAGCCCCTTTCTATTTTTATATATTCTTTCTATTACTGCAGGTAATATCTGAGGGCAAATGATGTTTTGGACATCCTTAATTCTATAGTTTTAGAGTTTACACCAGTATTTGGTTATAACAATAGTTACTCAACAGAACTGTTTATTGAGTTGAGTTACATAAAGTTCTCCCTACTGATTATGACTCAAAAATCTCTCACTTTTCTATTCGTCCTATCCAGTTATTCTTTATTACATGCACCAGAACAGATACAAGTTGAGAAAAATTTCCTAGGCATAATGAAACAAAGTTATATCAAATTTGAGATCAAGTTTTAAATCTGAGTCCAAATTGGCGAAGAAAATTGCAGGTGTATATTCTTTGTTTCTAAACTGTGTTTCAGCGGTTCTATCTTTTAATTTGTGTGAATTGCTCTTCTACCTTTAGCAATGAACTTGGTGTAAAAGGGCACTGACAGTTTTTGTCATATTTGTTGAAAGACTAATTACACAAGTATTCCTTTTTACCTTTCTGTGACGTTGAGATGGCGGTTTCCCCGCTCTGACTTCTGTGCACAGACACTTGTTTGCTGCTGTCTTCCTTTGCTTTTAGGGAACTCGGTCCCTGTGTCCAGATGGTTTTCCGGGTGACTCCAATATTACATCCAGATCGCACCGTTTTCTTCGGCTCTTGAAGTCCCCATTTCAAACTGGTCTCAGTCTTCAAGCAGGCTTTGTTAAGCACCAGGTATGGCAAAAACAATCGCTTCCCTGAGGACCTGTACAGCTTCTCCGTATACCGTATGGCTCGTAAAAAAGCACAAGTCATGTTTATAGAAACTGTTCCGCGTAGGGACGATGCTAACTAAAATTAGCAAGGCTACACAATCCGCTGCACACCCAGTCGGACACGTACACAGGTCTATGCATTCACATTTACAGGGCGTGTCAAGAAGAAAATGTTTGACCAGCAGTGCATAATAAGAAGAAAATTCTCCTGAGTAAACTTGATGTCCACTTTCCCTTATCACCTCTTTTTAAAAACTTGAATTAAATGCTCTGAGTACCTTCTATGCTGACATTCACACTCTCCCCGCCATGCTTTCGCAAAGAAACCTGGGAAGGCCCTGGGAGCCCTGGGAATAGTAGTTTGACGGATCTCAGTCCTAATGGGGCTGCTGCTGTGGGAAGAGCAAAAGGGACTACAACTCCCATAATGCAAGGCGGCTACGGCGTGCGGTTGGCCCAGAATACTCTATGCAGATTGCCTGCGCGGGCACCGCAGGTCCCCAAGAGAGACAGTTAAGCCAAGGACTCCTTGCATGCTTCAAGTAGAGCTTGCCAAAATCAAACGAGCAGTTACAAACTGAGGAGTGTTTTCATGACCCTTTTGAGAGGACTGTGCAGACCGGGAAATCCTCCATGTGATTGTGGTTTTGCTATTACTTATGGGCACATGATTTAGTTTTTGTGTTTCAGTTTGTTAAAGAAAACCGGACAATAAACAGCCAGCAAGTGGAGATGACCGAGGCAGCCACAAAGCAGGCTTGGGTGTGCTAAACATAAAGCAGCGGCGTCAGAACGTGGGAGAGTAGGAAAAGCCAGGACTCGAAAGTTTCTCGTAGGCTGCTCCCGGAATTCTAGTTAAGGCGGTGGCGTCTGCAGCAGGTCTCACCCCGGGGGCGCGAGGAAGGGCCGCGCACGCGCCGCGCCGGCCACGCGTCTGCGCACGCGCTGGGCTGGCTGACTTCTGCGCACGCGCGTCGGAGGCGTGCCACCCTACGGCAGGAGCTCCCAGCACTGTCTCCATGGCGACCGGTCGCGGTCGGACCCTGCAGCAGCATTGGCTTGGCGTCCAGGAACAGCGTCTGCCTCTCAGAGGCCCCGGCGCGGTGCGAGAGAAGGCGCCGAGGGGAGCGAGGGGCGCCGGGGCCTTTGGGTTCAGGTGACGGTCGGCGGGCTGCGGGTGGGGTGCCCCCGGCAGGGGAAGCCCCTCCCTGTCTCCGCCTCGCCCTCTTCCACGTGCCTTTTATTCGTCTAGCTCGGGCGCAAGACTCGCGACTCTTTTTAATGGGGGAGGTGTCTGAAAGAAGGACCAGAGGGAACCTTTTAAACCTGGAAACGCGGGGTACCCCAGGTTATGATACAAGTAGAGTAGCTTTCGAAGGAAATATTTTTTTCTCTGTCCATCCAGGGGCTTTGGGCCGAGAGGATGCGCTGCATATGCGAAGACAGGTGCGAAGCTGGAGTCCCCGCCCATAGGTGACCCATGGGTCCCTCCCGCCGCGGCACGCGCTCCTGAGTTAGTATTTTTGCTCTTCTGTAACCGAGAATCTCTTTTCGACTTTTTTTATGACCTTAGAACGTAGGGCAGTAGAATGTGCTCCTCAAAACCGTGTCAATTTCTCTCTCGGAGGACCCACCGCCCCTAAGTAGCCACCTCCAGCATGCAGGTTGATCTGGGGGCGGTTCCCGATTGCCTTTTTAGACCGCCAAGCATTACTCAGCTCCTCGCCCTGGTCTGCCTGTCTTCCTATCACAACGCCGGGGCTGGGGCTGGTGTCTAGAGGCTCTTCTCATTTCTCTTGGGGTTCCCTAAAACTGAAGGGTGGTCCTCTCCTACAGTGAAAACGAAGGCGAATTTTTTTTTCTTTTTTCTTTTTGAGTTGGAGTCTCACTCTGTCACCCAGACTGGAGTGCAGTGGCCGCTCCCGGCC